AGTCCGGGGTGCGAATCTACAATGTGGAGCCGCTCATGGAGAAAGGGCACCTGGGTAAGGATGTGGGGAGGGCAGGGAATGGGGGGGCTGGCTGGCTCGGGGGGGGCATTGGAAGTGGCATTGGACTGCACCCCGATTTTCTACCCCCCCAGATCACGAGCAGGTGGGCAGCGTGGCCCTGGTTGAGATGCTGCATCGATCCAACCTCTTGGCCATTGTAGGGGGAGGAGGGAACCCCAAATTCTCAGAGATCTCAGGTATGTACCCCGGGGTGGGGGGGACTGGGAGCCAGGACTTCTGGGTTCTCTGCCTAGCTCTGGGAGGGGTGGGGGGGTTGTGGGGGTAGCACTGTCTGCTCTCACCCATGTCGCCCCCCCGGCAGTGCTGATTTGGGACGACGCCCGCGAGGGGAAGGGTGGCAAAGACAAGCTGGTTCTGGAATTCACCTTCACCAAACCTGCCCTGGCCGTGCGCATGAGACATGACAAGTGAGTGTGAACCCAAGCGTCCGGCCTCCCAACACCCCTCCCCGAATCACCAGCCCCCACTCCCCTCCCAGAGCTGGGGAGAGAACCCAGGCGTCCAGGCTCCAACCCCCACCCCCCTTGCTCTAATCACTAGCCCCCACTCCCCTCCCAGAGCTGGAGACAGAACCCAGGAGTCATAGAATCATAGAATATCAGGGTTGGAAGGGACCTCAGGAGGTATCTAGTCCAACCCCCTGCTCAAAGCAGGACCAACACCAACTAAATCATCCCAGCCAGGGCTTTGTCAAGCCGGGCCATAAAAACCTCCAAGGAAGGAGATTTCACCACCTCCCCAAGGAACCCATTCCAGTGCTTCACCACCCTCCTAGCGAACCAACCTAGACCTCCCCCATTGCAATGTGAGACCATTGCTCCTTGTTCTGTCATCTGCCACCCCTGAGAACAGCCGAGCTCCATCCTCTTTGGAACCTCCCTTTCAGGTAGTTGAAAGCAGCCATCAAATCCCCCCTCACTCCTCTCTTCTGGAGACTAAACACTCCCAGTTCCCCCAGGTTTCAGAGTAGCAGCCGTGTTAGTCTGTATCCGCAAAAAGAACAGGAGTCCTTGTGGCACCTTAGAGACTAACAAATTTATTAGAGCATAAGGTTTCGTGGGCTACAGCCCACTTCTTCAGATGCAGTTCCCCCAGTCTCTCCTCATAAGTCATGTGCCTCAGCCCCCTAATCATTTTTGTTGCCCTCCGCTGGACTCTCTCCAATTTGTCCACATCCTTCTTGTAGTGTGGGGCCCAAAACTGGACACAATACTCCAGGTGTGGCCTCACCAGTGCCGAATAGAGGGGAACGATCACGTCCCTCGATCTGCTGGCAATGCCCCTACTTATACAGCCCAATGTGCCGTTAGCCTTCTTGGCAACAAGGGCAAACTGCTGACTCATATCCAGCTTCTCGTCCACTGTGACCCCTAGGTCCTTTTCTGCAGAACTGCTACCCAGCCACTCGGTCCCTAGTCTGTAGCAGTGCAGGGGATGCTTCGGTCCTAAGAGTCCTGGCTCCCAGTCCCTCCCCCCCTGCTCTAACCACCAGACCCCACTCCCCTCCCCTCCCCTCGCCAGGAGAGAACCCAGGAGTCCTGGCTCCCAGC